GGTCAAAACAACACAAAACTCTTTCTTGGAGGATTGAAAGAATAAATTTTTTTTCTTATTTGCCCCTGACATTAATAACATTTGCAAATGGAGTTGGATTGGGAGACCCAATCAAAACATATTTTATAGATTGGGGACTAAATTGATATGTTTTAAACATTAACGACTAAAATAACGTGAACCTCATACTGTTAAGGACCAAAAAGATAATTAACCATTTTTAAAATAGTTATAAATTATATATTAGATGATATATCAAAAGCACAAATAATTATGCCCCATAAAACAAGTAACACGATAATATTTTTGCATTAATAATACACAAATTGGATTATTAGAAATTCATTAACATGACAAAAAATATTCAAAAATGTTAGACATTTCAAAATATTGTACCAAAAAATCTAATGAACACTCACATGGTAGATTTTTTGGTAGAATATTTTGTATCTCTATCATTACTCAAAATTTATTTATATAGAAAAAATAGTCATAAAAAATCATGAATGCTTCATTACTTACTATTATATAATAAATCTAGGGACACCAAAATATAAGTGAATTAATTTGAGTGAAATTGTTTCTTTAAAATGGGGCCTCAAAGTCTCATGTGTGTAAATTTTCTGATTCGTCTTGTTTCCCTAAACTTAATGATAATTGTTGGAAATCGAATTGGATTTTAGACATGGGTTTGGGCACTGCCGAACGAGGCGAATTTGTTTAGATCCGAAAGTTCAAACACCAATGACGTTAAACAAACTAAATATTCATTTTTATGTATAAAAAAAAATACACGAAAATCAAGAATTGTACCTTGATATTTATGTGAATACTTACTTCTTCTTTGATGGGATGTTTCAAAAAAAGCTTTTCGTTATTATTCTCATCCATTGTTTGATTTTGTTCAAACTTTTTTTCTATTGGCAAGGATAAAAAACAATAATGTTGATGATAATGGTGAGTTTTGATGAGGTGGTTTGGAGTTTTGTAGTGAGGAAGAAGAAGAAAATAAAACAATTGAAACTTCAGAAAGAAGATGAATAATACGTACATGTGATTAGGATGTACCATGAGAAAAAATTTATTTTAAAATTTGATATGTGTTGTCCTTAATAATAAATTTACATTAAGATATAATAGGAATTAAAATTCAAAATTTAGTTGGGCATACTTAATGATTTTTGGGTGTAATTGAATCTCCTCCCTCCCCCTATTTAGAGACTCAATTAGTTTGATTTTTGAATCACTTCATTTTAAGGATAAGTGTAGATAATTCACTATCTCATCTTATAAGGATATAGGGTTGTAGGTAGTTACATCTCTCACAATATATTACAGATATGTAATATGCAAGTTGAGAGATCAAAAAATTTCTTTACCTTTTTATTTTTAACTTTTTGCAATTGAAGAACAACCATTCATTTGTATTGTGAGTTGTGTGGGTAGTTTTCTAATAATTCCACTCAACCATTGAGAAAAGTTTAGGTTCATCGTTTGAAGGCACATAATTTACCCATATGATCTATGAATTCGGTTTAAGTTTAAAATGTATGTCTGAATTTGATTATTTTTGTTATGTATTATTTATCCTATAATAATTATATTCAATCGATGCACTATCATTATTTGATGAAACAAAAAAAAAGGTTCAGTTTCTCTTATGTTGGGATCTCAACTTGAGAGAACTTGAGAGGCCTATAAGGCCCACTAAGAGTTCTGTTTCAATAATTCGAACCGTTCATTTTGTAAGATCTTCAATATATAATATCCATGAAAAAATTGAGGTTAATCTCAATCCTATAACTGTAAGATTTTCATTTTATAGCATTTGTTTTTTAAAAAAAAAATGAATGGTTTATTTCAAAATATAGTTTTCGTCTGTTTTTTTGGAAACAAATGTAATAAAATGAAAAAAAAAATTACGATTATTGAATCGAATTAATTTTTTTCATGGATATTATACATTGAGGACCTTATAAAATAATCGGTTTGAATCATTGTAACGGAACTTGTGATGGGCCTTATAAACCTCTCAAATTCTTGGGCCATTTCCCAAAATAAGTCAAACTACTAACCTATTTCTCAAACTAAGCCTAGTTTGGCCGAAATTCCCAAAATAAGCTGAAACATTATTCCAAATCACGCTTTTACCATATTTCTGGCCCAGCCACGGAGAACGGAAATCATAAAAGCGTGGTTACAAACCACGCTTTTAATTAAGGAAATCTGTTTAAGGAAATCGGTTACAATCTTATAACGCGTTTAAGGAAATCTGTCTTGTAAAGAAAGCGTGGTTTCTAACCATGCTTTTAAAGAAAAATGTTTTGTAATCAAAATAGAAGACAAGTAAGGAGGTAGCTCAAATGGTAGTGTGCTCCTTTCCATGGGAGAGGCACGGGGTTCAATCCCCCGCATCTCCACACTCTTGCTGTTTTCAAATTCAATTCAATATATATATATTTTTTTTTTCCCTTCCACTTACTCTATACTTTATATATTTATTATGTAATTTTGTTATCAAAAAAAGTAAAACGTTTGTTTGGTTAACTAATATTTATAATAAAAATTATATTTAAAATAAAAAATAAAATTTTTAAATATTTTAAAAAATACAACTCAAATATTTTAAAAAATACAGCGCACAATTATATGAAATATAGTACACATTTAAAAAATATAACTCAAAACTCTTTTTAAAACTCATAATAAAACAAATTGTCTATTTTCAAAATTTATAACTCAAAATACAACTTCAAACTCAAATCATGATTCTAAAAATAATTTTTTAAAAAAAATATTTTTTTTTGAATTTTTTTTTTAAAAAAATAAAGTTTTGAAAAGAATTTAGTTATGGGTTTTGAGTTGTGTGTTTGGTTATGGATTTTGAAAAGAGTTTTTAAATTGAGTTTTGATCTGTATATTTGGTTATGAATTTTAAAAATAATTTTAGATTAGGATAAATTACAAACACATCTCCTGAGATTTACTTAAATAACAAATTACCCCTATAGTTCTAGAATTTACATTATGCCCCATAAGGTTTTTAATTTCATAACAAATAGGTCCTTTCATTAATAAAACATCAAGTTAATTAACAGTTTTTAATAATGTTAAAATTTTATTTCAATTAATAATTCAAAATAATTTTGTTATTGTATAGGTGAACAGTTAGAAATCTCACCTTTTTAATTAATTCTGTTAAATAAAAAATTCTGACAATGAGGTATTTCTAATTTTCTAAACCACATGGACAATTCATATTTTAAGCGAATCTCAAGAGGTGTATTTTTAATTTACCTTTAAATTAAGTTTTAAATTATGCATTTAATTATGAATTTTGAAAAGAATTTTAATTTTAATTTTTTTCTATAATTAGTAGGGCTGAGCAAGGAATCCGTGAAATCCGTAATCCGATCCAGTCGAGTCCAATCCGGTTGGTTTGGATTGGTTTTTTGAATCCGTAGTTCAGTTCTGGATTGAAGAATTAAAAATCCGTAGTCGACGGATTGGTTCCGAATTGAACCCCACCGTTCCGGATTGGAACCAATCCGGATTGTATACAAATAGTTTATATTTTTACTATACACCCCCCCGCATACTATCTTATCTTATTCTATATAAAACTAAACTTAAACTTAAATCCACATAGTATCTTCTTTTATTACTTTTGTTTGTTATTTTTTAGTTTTAATTAGTAATAGTCTAAGGCTTGGTTTGGGAAGTGGGTTGGCTTTTTGGCTTTTTTGGCTATTTTAGCCTGGGCTTAAAAGCTTGGTTTGGGAAGGGCTTTTTGACTTTTTAAAAATAATTATAAAAAAAAAATATTTTTTTGAATTTTTTTTAAAAAAAAAAGGTTTTGAAAAGAATTTAGTTATGAGTTTTGAATTGTGTGTTTGGTTATGAGTTTTGAAAAGAATTTTTGAATTGAGTTTTGAGTTGGTTATGAGTTTTAAAAATAATTTTAGATTAGGATAAATTACAAACACATCTCCTGAAATTTACTTAAATAACAAATTATCCCTATAGTTCTAGAATTTACATTATGCCCCATAAGGTTTCTAATTTCATAACAAATTGGTCCTTTTATTAATAAAACATCAAGTTAATTAACAGTTTTTAATAATGTTAAAATTTTATTTCAATTAATAATTCAAAATAATTTTATTATTGTTTAGGTGAACAGTTAGAAATTTTACTTTTTTAATTAATTCTGTTAAATAAAAAATTCTGATATTGAGATATTTGTAATTTTTCAAACCACATGGACAATTCATATTTTAAGTAAATCTCAAGAGGTGTATTTGTAATTTACCTTTTAATTATGAATTTTGAAAAGAATTTTAATTTTAATTTTAATTTTTTTCTATAATTAGAATCACTTCTAAGTAAACCAAACGCAACCAAAGTTCTTCAACTACGATTTGGTTGATGTGGTTCTTCACAACATGCACTTATCATCTTTTTTTACAAGAACGCTATCAGACTACTGGCCTTGCTCACCAATATCAGCTTCTGAGTCATCTTCACCGTATGCGCCAAGAAACAACTCAGAACATTAATGATTTCCTCTCCCAAATGTATTCTGTTTGGGATTAGCTCGCTCTTTCTGAACCTCCCTAGGATTGTACTAAGGATGCTGCCTTATTTACTACTTACCGTGACCAACAACGCTTGGTTCAGTTTCTCATGGCTCTCACTCCCCGATTTTCGCTATTATAGAAAGACATGTTGCTATTGTGGAACTAGTGCTATGTTTATGTTTTTATAAAATTAAAATGTTATAGATATATTTTTTGTTATTTAATTATGTGAATCCGTGATCCTAAACTGATCTAAACCGTGTTTAAATGGATTGGTTCGGATTGATTTCACGATTTAAACGGATTGGATTGGTTTCAATTTTTCACAAACAGTAAATAACGGATTGATTCTGGTTTTATCCCAATCCAATCCAATCCAATCTGGACCATGCTCACGCCTAATAAGTAGAATCACTTCTAAGTAAACCAAACGCAACCAAAGTTCTTCAACTACGATTTGGTTGATGTGGTTCTTCACAACATGCACTTATCATCTCCTAGTTCTTCAACAATGTCCAACAAGCCCCGCCTTCGTTCACTGCTCTTGCTCGCCCGCGAGCAGGATGCTACTTCACATGCTGTTGATATTCCTACTATCAAGCCCCTAAAGAGATGGCGCTTTGCGTTTTCTGTTATCTATGCCATCAATGCCATGCGTTCTCTGGTTAAAGAAGCTAAACAACTCGTACAGAAAACATCTCACACTACCCTCGACATCAATTCGACTGGTGCTGCTGATTCTGAACATCTCAATCTTGTAGTTGATCAACACCTCCCTGAGCGCATTGACAAAGCAAAGCTCATAAAGTTGGTGAAGGAAAAAAATCTCACTCCTCTTCATGAACTTGGTGGAGTTGAAGGCATAGTTTTCAATCTTCAAACCAATGGCAAAAATGGAATCAATGGCACTGAAGAAGACAAGAAATGGCGACGTGAAGTATTCGGTTCCAACACTTACCGTAAGCCACCTCCAAAGGGCTTTCTCCATTTTTTGTTGGAAGCTTTTAAAGATGCCACTATTATCATCCTACTAGTATGCGCTGCTCTGTCTCTCGGTTTTGGCATTAAAGAAGATGGAATAGATGATGGTTGGTATAACGGTGGGAGCATTCTCTTCGCTGTCATTTTGGTCGTTATGGTATCCACAATCACTAACTTTCGCCAAGCAAAACAATTTGATGAGTTGTCCAAAGTCAGTAGCAATATCCAAGTGGATGTCATTCGGAATGGGAGGCGACATCACATCTCCATATTTGATATTGTGGTTGGAGATGTTGTAACATTGAAAATCGGAGATCAAATTCCAGCAGATGGCTTGTTCTTGAATGGATATTCATTACAAGTGGACGAGTCAAGTATGACCGGAGAGAGTGATTATGTTGATATTGACCAGACTATCAATCCATTCTTACTTTCTGGTGCCAAGGTAGCCAATGGGTATGGTTTAATGGTTGTCACAGCAGTAGGAATGAACACAGCATGGGGTGAGATGATGAGTTCTATAAGCCACGATTTGAAAGAGGAAACTCCACTGCAATCTCGTCTCAACAAACTGACCTCTTCCATAGGAAAAATTGGTTTGATAGTTGCTTTTTTTGTTCTTGTTGCGATGTTGATCCGTTACTTCACTGGGAACACAAAATATGCAAATGGGAATCGAGAGTATAATGGTAAGAAGACCAAGTTCGATGAGGTTATGAATGCCATGGTGCGTATTATTGCTGCCGCTGTCACAATTGTTGTGGTGGCGATTCCAGAAGGTTTGCCGCTAGCTGTCACACTCACTTTGGCTTACTCTATGAAAAGAATGATGGCTGATCAAGCTATGGTTCGGAAACTCTCAGCTTGCGAGACTATGGGATCAGCAACTATTATTTGTACAGATAAAACAGGTACGCTCACTTTAAACAAAATGACTGTGACCACATTTTGGCTTGGCAAAGATAGCATTACAGGCAATGCTGTCAATGCAATTGCTCCAAATATTGTTGAATTGCTCCACCAAGGAGTGGGTGAGAACACTACTGGTAGTGTTTATACAGCCACTTCAGGATCTAAACCTGAGTTCTCTGGAAGTCCAACTGAGAAAGCAATTCTTTTTTGGGCTGTCCATGAACTAGACTTGGACATAGAAAAACTAAAGAGGACCTATGACATCCTCAATGTTGAAACCTTCAATTCGGAAAAGAAACGTAGCGGAGTATTAATAAAGAATTTGATGGACAACACATTCCATGTCCACTGGAAAGGAGCTGCTGAAATTATACTAGCTCTGTGTTCAAGTTACTATGACAAGTCTGGAATCAAGAAAGCCATGGATGAGAGTACAAAAGTGGAAATCAAGCGAATAATCGATGGGATGGCTGCAAAAGCCCTTCGATGCATTGCATTTGCTCATAAGCAATTTACCATGTCAGAGCCAGACAACACTGATGAACCAAAGATCACTGAAGATAACTTGACATTCTTAGGGGTAGTGGGTCTAAAGGACCCATGTCGGCCAGGGGTGAAAGACGCAATGCAACTTTGCGAAAATGCTAAAGTAAAAGTCAAGATGATTACGGGAGACAACATTTTCACTGCAACAGCAATAGCCATCGAATGTGGGATACTTAGATCCGATTATCAAAGCGTAGCATCGGCCAGTGACGGTGAAGTTATAGAAGGTGAGAAATTTCGAAATTATGCCCAGCAAGAAAGGCTAGATCGTGTTGAAAATATCCTCGTAATGGCAAGATCTTCCCCTCTTGACAAGCTTCTAATGGTAAAGTGCTTGAAACAGAAAGGCCATGTTGTTGCTGTCACTGGTGATGGCACAAATGACGCGCCCGCTTTAAAAGAAGCAGATGTGGGGCTTTCTATGGGCATTCAAGGCACCGAGGTCGCCAAGGAGAGTTCAGATATTGTTATCTTGGATGATAACTTCAACTCAGTAGTGACTGTTTTGAAGTGGGGAAGATGTGTGTATAACAGCATCCAGAAATTTATCCAATTCCAGCTTACTGTCAATGTGGCTGCCCTTGTAATCAACTTGGTTGCAGCATGTTCAGCTGGTGAAGTCCCACTAACAGCAGTCCAGTTGTTGTGGGTGAACTTAATCATGGACACATTAGGGGCTCTAGCTCTAGCCACGGAACGACCGACCGACGACCTCATGGACAAGCCACCTGTTGGCCGCACAGAGCCACTAGTAACCAATGTTATGTGGAGAAACCTCATTTTCCAAGCACTTTTTCAAATCATCGTCCTCTTGATATTTCAGTTTAAGGGAAAATCTATCTTTAATGTGACTGAAGCAGTGAAGAACACCCTGATCTTTAATACTTTTGTCTTCTGCCAAGTATTTAACGAGTTTAATGCTCGAAAATTAGAAAAGAAGAACATCTTCAAAGGGATTCTTCAGAACCGATTATTTCTATGGATCGTGGCATTAACTGTCATTCTTCAGGCGGTGATGGTGGAATTTTTACGAAAATTTGCTGATACAGAGAGGTTGAATTGGTTGCAGTGGGGTATATGTATTATCATAGCAGCAATGTCATGGCCACTTGGTTGGGTTGTCAAGTGCATACCAGTTCCAGAAAAACCATTGCTATCCTATATCAAATGGAAGTGCATTTAAACAGATTATGTAAACTAGCTTATCTTTAGTTTCCAAAAATCAGACCGGTCCAGTCCAATATTATGGGCCCAAGTTAATGATTCAACTTGTTAAATTTTGGGTGTTTGTAGATTATTTTTATAAAAAAAGTGCATATTGATCTAATAATTATAGTCAAATCATTTATCATCAAATAAATGAATGATATGTGACTATAATTATCAGATTAATATACTTTTTTTTTTTATTGATAATCTACATAAATGAACCTAAAACATGATCAGAATAAATCATCAACGTAAGTTAGATGATAGGCCCACAATGCATAATTGGACCAGTTCATTTTTTTAAGAAATTAAAGGTGAGGTAGTTTAAACTATAAGTAGGACTTGCAAGAATAAATGTGTGACATTAATAGGATTGTGTATAGCATTTTCTTTTTAAATGTCTCTCCTAGATTCTCCTTCATACATGTGTATGCCTTCAGTGTGTAAATAAGATGCAATGTAATATTGAAGTTCTGTTTTACTCGCATACAAAATTATACATATTGTTATTATGCTGTACCAAGAAGGGTAAATTTCGTCAATAGTCCCTCTAGTTTCTTCTGAGTTTCATTCTGCTTCTTATTATTTCAATTGCAACATATTTGCCCCTTCAATTTATAGAAGTTGATCTATGGGACTAGAGAATTTTGTTGCCAATAAGGATCTCGAGGTGGGTATGTTGCACCAAATTCCAAGGAAAATTTGGTATTAAGTTTGTCGAATTTCATACATGTGTATGCCTTCCCACATTGCTATTAAGTTTGTAGAATTTCTGACCAAGATCGATAGAGGGTTTAACAAGGCACTTGAGAAGGTGCCAACAAAATTTTTGAAGAATGGTGATGCAAGTATTGTTAAGATGATTCCCAGAAAGCCCATTTTGTTGTCACGGACATGAAGACTCCGGCTGTGGATAAAGAGTGTGGAGAAGGGGACAAGTGAGTCATGCAAGATGGTTTCCTTTGAATTGAAGAACTTCAATTGAAATTTTGTTGGTTGTCTCCCCATTAGACTTTTAGTTGGTTGTTCTGTTGAATTTGTTTTTGTGTGTGTGCCTTTCTCGTTCACAGAATTGGGTGTTTGATCGGCAGTGATTGGTCTATAGTTCATAGTTCTTTATTGTCTATTGTGATTTAAGTATGTATCCTTATTTGCTGAATGCATAAATTTACAATGGGCCAGACTTTTCTCCGGTTCAAGATCGGACTCTAGCGTGTTGTTGGGCGTGTGGGGGCCTACCACGAGTCCTATTTTGATAATCCGAACCGTTCAATGTGTAGAATCCGTCGAGTATTTTATCCCTACAAGTAATCACGTTGATTGGATATCGATAGCTATTTGATTAGATTATATTTCTATCAACGGTAAATAGAATTTTCAAAATAAATTGTTGACAAAAATCTAATCCAATCAAGTATCTATTGATATTTGATCAACGTGATTTTTTACAGAGATAAAGTACTCAACGAGTTCTATATATTTTATGGTTCGGATTATCGAAACAGGACCCGTGTGGGCCCCACAGACTCAATAGCACTGTTTAGTCAATAAAGTAAATTGGAGACAAGCACGTCCCATTTACAATTACATTTCCCAAATACCATAAATAGCAATTCTAATAATATATATATATATATATTATAGTCATAAATTATTACTCAATGATGCTCTGTTTGTTTGAGCGGAAAATATTTTTTAAAAAATATTTTTTTTTGCATTTTTTGCCATTTTATACAATAGAGAACAAAAATCAAGAAAAAACATTTTCCACAGCTAATGGAAAACAAGTCTGTTTGGGCGGAAAATATTTTCCACTTTTAAAATATGAAAAACGTTTTCCGAACAAAAATTTTATCAATGCCACCACATTACCACTACTACTATCATCTCTACTACTACCACCATGGCCACAACCACCATCACCACCGTCATCGCCACCACCTCCACCACCTCGCAACCACCACTACTACCATCTCTACCACATTAATACTACTACCACTACCGCCACCGCCACCATCATCACACCACTATTGTCGTTGCTACCACTGCCACTGCTGCTGCCGCCGCACCACTACCGCCACTACCACTACTACCCTCAACACCTCCACCTTATCGCCGCCACTACCACCACCACTAATGCAACCACTAGTACATTAATTTCAAGAACGCAACCAAACATAAAAATAACGTTTTCTGTGGAAAATATTTTCTAGAAAAAGTTTTTTTATAGAAAATCTTTTTCGCCAAAACAAACGTAGCATAAAAGAAATTTATATCAGCATAATAATTCATTTAATGGGCATGGGCACGAGTGTGAGATCTTCAGAGAGGAGGGTCTCGAAAATTGAAGACTTCATCGTGTGGTTGACCCCCATGTCTCGCTCATGATAAATGGGATTGGTCGTTGAGGTGTAATTTGAGATACGAGTGAATGGTCTAAACTTAGCATATCTGATGAAAACCCACTAATCATACAAAAGTGCTAAATATAGATCAAACATGAGACATGGAGTCACCACCTAATCTTTAATGGAAAACTAGGAAATTCTGACTTGTGCAAAGACCATTGCCTATAACAACCAAAGGATCTGATCTGGAAGTTTAGGTATAAGAAGGGAAGGTCATGAATTGAGTATCCTCATTCACCCGATCAAAGATCGATCTCTACTAGTTTTTGATATGAGAATTATCAACACAATATGATCATATAACCCAATTATTAATAATAACTATACTGTGTAGAGCAAATAAGTATAGATCGGATCACCTACTTCTGAATACTCTAATATCTCGCAATTTGAGAAGGGTTTGAAAGTAGAAATCTCGTACAAGTGTGAGATAACTAGCGTGTGAAGAGATCAGAATCATTCCAACTTAGGCAATGAGGCCTCCATGTAATGAACAATCATAGAGATATATCACATAAGCACATAGCTTCATGGTAGCATACTAAACATAATAAAAAGCAAACACATATGGGATGCAATAGAAAGGGGAAAGGCATACTTACTACTTCTCTACACCATGCCATGAGCGTAAAGGGCTAGTAATTTATGCATGATCCTAAAGAAAATAAGAAGAACACTCACCGGGTACTCCAACCAAGTATAACAAAAGACAACTAATTAGAAATATGCATGATCCTAAATGCAACTTTCTATAAAAGTGTAACACACAAATGGAATGAATCCTATGAGCCTGGTTGCTAATAAGGATGGCATATGAATCATCAAGGGAATCACATCACATAATGATAACAAAACTTACTAAGACATGATAATCCGTACTTGGATGCATGACTGTAATATAATCATGTGAATGTCATGATAACAATTTAATAAATCAAAACAAAGTAAATAAGCTTAAAACGAGAGAGAGAGAGAGAGAGAGAGAGAGAGAGAGAGAGAGAGAGAGACTTGTTCCGACACACACAACAACTATATAAAAATAATACCCAATTAGTACACATTAATGTGTGCTTGGGAGGGAAAAGATTTGGTATACACCTAACCTTTGGCATAGTGCACAACAAATATATCAACTATTATAATTAAAACAAGAACTCCGACAAGGATAAGAAGGTACATGGAAGTGAGTATAGACTATACGAATCCATGAAAAAGAGTTTTGAGAAGGTAACTCTAACTTATCCTCGTAGAGGAAACCGTGCCTAGATTTCTCAAGATAATAAAGACAACTAAGACTACAAAATCAAAACAATAATAAACACCTTAGTGAGAGTGAGGAGATTCTACTTGTCATAGTCCTGTCCTGCCCCAAACAGGATAGTGTAGTGATCGGCCAGTGGTCATGGACTACCAGAAGCCTAACTTTCAAAACAAGTTGGACTATTAGGATAATTGGGGGAAATTTTCCGTTTACAAGTGCGAAAGCCATTATTTATTTGTATTGAGTCCATTTAAAACATCCATTCAAAACAGTACATAATATATGAAGTGAAAGCATACACGGTGCATAAAACAAAAGTAAAGTATATCACTTATAATGAAACCTTGCAAAACCAACAAAATATACAAGAGCGACTTCTAATCAAACTTCTCTTCATAACTTCATCACCTACATATATATATATATAGGAGAGGGGTGAGCCATTGTCTAGTGAATAATAATATAGTAAAGTGGTAGATGAATGAACATCGATGAGATTTATTTCATTCATAACAAAACAATAACATAGCATTCATAAATATAGAATAGGTTTTGCATTTGAATCATAGTTTATCTAACATAACTTTATTATACTACTACTCACAAATGGCCCTTGAATGAAGGGTTACTTCCTCTAAACGCTTGACCTACACAAAACATGAACAAGGCACTGAAAACACTTAAACTAGCAAGTTTCTAAATTCGTTTAAAATGTTCTAAGTTAGCCTAGAGTTTCCTAATCTTTTCTTAGGTTATTCAAGTTTTTTCTAAGCTTAGTTCACGTTTAAATCAAGTGTCAAACATGTGTCAAATGCATGTTTAGAAGTATCCTAAGTGATCAAGGCTTGAAAAGCATTAAAATGAGTCAAAATAGGTGTGTCACATGTGCAGGGCCTTGGGCCACATGTGCGGCCAGTTGCAGTGGCAAAACATGTTGCTGGACAAGTGGAATGCACGTGTAGGAGTCATGGTCGCACGTGTGAGAATGGCTGTTTTAGAAAAACAGTTTGTAGGTTCGAAATTCTGCTCTTGTTCCAAGCTTTTTCTTCTCCTTTTCATGACTTGGGGCTTTGAAAAATGATTGAAAAACATTCAAAACTAATAGGAAAACATGGAAATATGACACTTGTCAAAGTTACAAGATCAAAGCATAGTTTGTTTTCAAGATTTAAGAATCAAAACACAAGATTTGTTGAATAGTTCATGAACTCTAGCTTTTATTCAAACCCTTTCTTTGAAGCTTTCAAAACATGGAATTAAACTTGCAAAACTTTTTGAAAAACATATGAAAACACGATGAAGCTTCTTATGCATCAAGAACATCAAAATTAAAATCAAAATGACAAGGATCTAAGCCACTAGTTTGTTCTTCATTCTATTTATCTATTGTTCACTCTTTTCTTCATTTATTCATTAATAACTTAATTAAATCCTAGTTTTTTTTTCAATCTTAGATGATAGATAGGTTTACTTTAAGAATTAGGGCTCAAAGATACCTTTTGAATGATGAAGGATGGATTTTTGACAAGTTTCTTCAAGTTTTTTTCTTTTCTCTTTCTTCTCCTCTTCCTTTTCCGCTCTTCTATGTTCTTCTCTTTCTTTCTAGTAAAATGTGCATTACTAGAAAAAGGGGCATTGAGCACGGAACAATTTGCGATGGTTTAAAAATTGTCACAAAAAGCAAGCTTTTGCGATAACACTTAATGACGTCGTGAATTTTTTTTTTTTTAGACGGAAAAACTAAGCCCGTGGCAAAACGTAAGGTTATATGCAACGGTACGTTAAACATCGCAAAATTTTTCTAGTCTTATTTATTTA